TGATTTAGCTTGAAATTAAATACTTTTATTAATCAAAGAAAGTATTCCATCTCATACATATTTATATATACATATATTTAAGGTAAATAAATAAAAAGAAATATTAAATTTCAAGTGTCAAAATAAATTCTATATATGATGTTTACGTATACTGCTATTTCCAGTACAACTACAACTGCATCAGGGGTTTAAATATCTTTTCTTTTTTATGTTTCACTGGCAGCATTTTATCTGAAAAGCCTCCAACAACCTATTTAAGACTATTGGAGTGTGACTGCTGTTGTGAGCCTGTAAATCCAAACACTACCTCTCCGTCTTCTGCAAAATATAAAGCCAATTGTTAAAATGTCAGAGTGTTTGGCTTGGTGGGGATGCATGCGGGCAAGCGGGGGAATGGGTGTGAAACATTAGGCTTTCAAATTACAGAAATGACTGCACTAATTAACGGAGCGAGACTCTCTCAAATATCACACTAATGTCAATGACTTTATCTGGAGGAGGGGGTGATAGAGGGGAGTAGTGCTTTGAGGCCTGCAGTGCTTCTTTTTTCAGCTCACATCATAGGAGCTCCCTGTGGATATTACTGTACAAGATCGCAAGACTGAAGTGTAGTGAGAAAATGGTAACACAAGTATCAAACAGATATCCCTTTTATCTTTATTTACCAGTCCAGTAGCTCCCTGCCCAAGGTTCCAATACTACTGAAGTGGACCATGTCAATGATAATGTCAGCCACAGTTTCAGAGATGTACACCACTAAGAAGAAAGTTAAACTGCAAGATGAATCACTTCTGCTTTCTGAGACCTTATAAAATTAAAATCCATAGAATCAGTTAGAAGAGTTAGATATCTAAGAGTTAGAGTTAGATAAAAAGCTACAGCCAGAAGATGGTTAGCTAAGACTAGAAACAGAGGGTGAAAAGCTTGCCTGGCTAGTCATCAACGTAGCCAGCCTAGAAATAGTCACACTTTATCCTTTGTAAAACCATACAATGTCAGAGGCTTTTTTTCACTTCTGCATTTGTAAAGATCAAACAAACAAGATATCGTGTTAATTTGTGAGTTGCTGGTGATTTTTTTACCTCTGCAGACAGACAGGATAGATGTTTACTCTGGTATCCAGTCTTTATGCTAAGCTAACCGTCATCTCACACAGACCAGTGTGTAACATTTAGGAGGCTCTATTGGCAGAAATGGAATCTAATATTCATAGGACTGTTTTCATTAGTGTATAATCACCTGAATATAGTAATTGTTATGTTTTTGTTACCTTAGAATGAACCTTTTATATCTACAGACGCTGCGGGTCACCTTCCATGGAGTTCACCATGTTGAACCGCCATGTTTCTCCAGTAGCCCAGAAGTGACAAATTGTAGTTTCTCCTTTGTGCTTGTAAGGGGAGGGTGAAGCGACGGAGTTGCGATCTGCAGCTACACCGGTAAATGCCACTAAATCCTACACACTGGATCTTTAACGGACGGAGATGGATCCAGGAGGACATCAAGCAACTTCCAAGTGTCACCGAACATATCTGAGCAACATAAGCTCCTCTCTACCATGGAGACCTGGAAAGATAATACACAAGATGCAAAGCTCAAGCCTCCTATTCACACAGAGAGGACAATATGCACACAAGGGAGATGCTGAACCTCTTGGAGGATGAAAATCCAGATCCAAACATCTGGAATGAGGCACCTACAGCCAGCAGAGAGAGAGGGATGTCCCAGGATGGCCTATGCTCCAGCAGAGAGAAGCCTGAGTGAAAAGAGCAGAGAGGGAGAAGAAACAGCCTGTACCTGACGATACACTGTGCACACTTCAGAAACGCACACAATCTTTGATGATTCAAAAGTCTAACTGCTCGTTCAGTCTTCAGTTCCTGTTATGTTCTCAACAGCAGCTCATCAGCCTCAGGCTGCCAGTCGGCTGATTATCCAAAACTGGCTCAGAGGCAACAAAGGTGATAAACTAACCTAGATAGAGTGCTTGCATGTCACCACGCATTTATACAGATAGCTTAGATTTCTTCCTTTTGTTTTGTATAAATAAACCCACACATGAGACTATTAACATTTACATGTTATGACCTGAAGAAGCTCATGTACCATAAAACCTGGAAGGAATTGCTGATCTAATTAAACGTCTCCTCTGCTGCCCCAAGATCTTTCATATCATTAACATTGCATCATTCAAATGTCACCGTGTACAAGCTCAACACTAATTTTCACACACTGTAGTCAATTAAAAACCAAAATAGAATACAGTCAGGGATTATTCAGACCACAGACAACTATATTAGTGTGATTAGAATAAGACGAAGTGTCGGTCTGTAATCAGTGCCTGAGAACTGCTGCCTAAACACACACAGAGTTTGTGCAGAGTAATGAGTGTGGATGCAAGGTCACTCTGGGAGAAAGAGTTTCTACAAAAGTCCAGACACATTAAGCTCTGATTGACACGGTCACCAACATCAAGGATCTTCTTAGATTTTACATTTAGTTTTCTAGTTTTCATATTAAAAGTCCAGCTCTTTAAGTTATAATAGGTTGACTTTTTTACTTTTGGTAATGCAGTCATCTCTTTGTTTATACTCAGATCATTGATTGTGCCTTTGAATTTCACAAGATTGAGTTGAAAGAACTCAATTATTACTGTGTATTTGTCATTGCACAGACTTTCGCAAATCATACTGCTGTTGTTTGAGCACTACAAACATTCACATTCATAACGGCAGAAGAAGGTTTTTATCACAGCCGAACATAAGCTCTCTGCAAATGACACTGCGTCCCTGGTGAAAGACTGAGGTCTGGACTCTGCCTGCAGCCCAGGAGATACTGTACAGTAACAATCAATATAACACTGAGCAAGCATCAGAGTTTTTATTATCTGCGAGGCACTGACTTGATCCCCCACTGTAGTGACTAATCTAATTGGGGCCGACATAGGCTCCCCAGCTGTGTGGCGCTGCCAGAGAAAGAGAGAAGACGGAGATGTCAGGGAGATCTTTATAAATCAATAGTCAAGTCACAGACAATTTTACTTCTTTCTATCCATCCATGCATCCACGCCATCCATCTAACACAGTCTTGTTAGCATGCTCAACTCACAAGTCATCACCTCAGTGCTAATAGCAAAAAACATTGTTGCTATTTTCTCCTGTACATTCTATAGTAAGCCCTGTCAATGCTCTGTATCCACTCTGCTATTAAACTGGGCTGAGAGACTATGTGGAAAGTATGCCATTGGAGTTATCAAGCCCACAGCCTCTCCACAGGGCTCAGCAACAGACTTACATTTAGAAATATGACTCAACCAGGGCAGGGTAAATGCAGTCATTGTTTTGGACTATAGTTGGAATACCTGTGAAAACATTTACCCCAGAAAACTCTCTCATTGCAGGCATGGAATAACTTTAATGCACTACTTTACTTTGATATGCATCCTGACAGGAAATGACTCATGTATTGAGCACACAGTGTTAATTACTCAAGTATGAATTATTTAGCCTCTGAACGATTCAATGAAATAGAAATGCCTCCAGTCAATAGTTGCCAACACTCGAGAAGACTTTGGACTCCCTCTGGGGGGATTTCAGAGCCAGTGATGGGTTGCATCTTATACGCCAGACCACAAAGTGACACCAGAGTTAAATCTTTAGCTGGCACGCTGAATCAGCACAAGCTTCACATTACCCTTGACCACTGCATCATCGGCTTGATATAAGCTATTCTAGATGTAAACATATAAAAGTATCCATATTTCTTTGTTCCCATTAACTCTGACTGAGAGTTATATCTGTGCTGCAGTTATAAATAATGGGGAACATGCCTTCGTCACCAATCTGTATTACTGGCTTGTTGTGTTATGTTGAGTGACTGAGGTGTACGTGTGCCATCTTGTGGTGAAAAGTCCAAACATGCATTTTTATCAACTTGTATTGCTTTATGGGCCTGGACACAGAAAGATCAAAAGGAAAGCTGGATGTATCATGAAAAGCATGACCGCAGTTTGCTTCAAAACTTTATATAGGTTTATGCCATTCCACAAATAACTCAAACATTTAGGATAGTTGCAGAGATCACAATTGTTCACAATGAAGAAGATTTAAAAGACAAGTTTAGTGTCCACAGCCACAGAGAATATTCAGAACAAATTAATGTAAAGAAAGAAGCACTTGTATATTATAGAGTGTTGACATTTGTTCTCTTTAAAAGTTGTCAGAATATAGTATCATGCCAAAATAAAGATTCACATTGATACAAGTCTGAACTCTGTATGTTAACAGGCAATCAAGTTGTTATAATGGAATACAAATAGTTCATGTATTTGGTTAATGGCTTTCTTTGTAATGTAATAAAGAATACAGGATATACATACAGTATACAGTTATCCTAAAAGAAAATCCAGGAATTCGCTACTCTTTGTCTAGTGTGTCAGTTGACACACTAGCTTTTATCAGACAGGGTTAGGATGTTTTTCTTTGAACAAACATGCAACTAATTGGAAGTGTACATGGGTAAATAGAGTTCTGTACTTTGGAGTGATGTTCCAGTGTGTTTGTGTGTGTGTGTATCAGGATATCAGAGCTAGAATGGCACTATTTTCTCTTCTGTCTTTGTTAGGTTTTCTGCTTTTGGACTTTCAGCAGGGCTATGGAGGTATTTTTTTAAGTTTTGTCATTATGATACTTATTATAAATATTTTCTTATGTTTCATTATGCAGTCTTACTTGTAATGTTTAATCAGTACATGTGACAGGTGAAGGATCTGCATTTTTAGTTATTTACATACAAAAGAATATCTCTCGACCTATAAGATAGATAGATAGATAGATAGAT